CCTCGTCATCGCTCTCCTCCCCTGACGAGTTGGGATCCTCGTTTGCTGCCTTGGCCACTCTGGGGGATAAGCCCGACATCGTTATGGCACCGAAGTCGAGATCGGGGAACATTTGTCGGACCAGATACCTGCACAGCTTGAACCCGGAGCGGTAGGAGCTTGAGCCATATTCGACCTGGAGAGCACGGAACTCCGAGGACTCCTTGAAGCGCTCGATGGCCTGGTTCCTTTCTTCTGCTCGCGCCTCCTGGATGGTGGTCTCGAAGATCTGGGTATGCTCTCGAACCATGGCCTCGAGGTTTTCGACTTCTTGTTGAAGCCGCGCCTTCTCCTTGGTCATTGTTGAGATCAGCTCCTTTTGCTTCGCGTTCTCCTCGGTCAGCGTGGAGATCTGTCCCTCCTGGACCAATATTAGTTGCTTCTAGCACTCGACTCCCTTTTTAGCCCGAAGTACTTCGCCCCAAGCTAGGTCCAGCTCGCGATGGAGCTTTTGTACCTCCACCTTGGCGTCCCGAGTCTCCTTTGAGCGGATCGCGGACTGGCAGGCCATTGCATGAAGGGCATAATTGACCTATCAAAAGAAAATCGAGGTAAGTAAAAAAAAAAAAAACGGAACTGAAGGCAAAATACTTACCACCGTGCACTGGCTGGAAGCTAATCCCAAGAAACGGGTCGAAGACATATCAGCCCATCGCACGACCTCATTCGGAAAGACAACGTCTCGGCTCTTGCGCACCACGAGCATGTGAGTCATGATGCTTTCTCCCTCGCTCGCCTGAAGTTTATGCTAATGGGCCTGAAGTTGATTGTGATACACTCCCACGGAATCAGCTGCTGCTAATGGACCTGAAGTTGATTGTGATACACTCCCACGGAAGGTTCTACCTCTTGAGGATGTGCTTCGCAAAGCTCCCATTGTTGCTCAACCTGGCCGGCCCCATCGCTCCCGCCATGCTCTGCCTCGTGCCCTCCTAACTGCCACCACACCCATTGAGCCGACTTCATATACCGCTGCAAGTAAAGTTCCGAAGTGGCGAGCTGCCATGAAGTCTGAGTACGATGCTTTACTCAGAAACGACACGTGGTCCCTAGTTCCACCTCCTCCTACTGCCAATATCGTTGGGTGTAAGTGGATTTTTAAGATCAAACGGAATTCTGATGGATCTCTGGCTCGTTATAAGGCCTGTTTGGTTGCTTGTGGCTTTACTCAGCGGTATGGGCTGGACTACACCGACACCTTCAGTCCTGTGATCACCGTTCGGGCTGTTCTCTTAGTTGCTGTCTCCAAAGCGTGGCCCATCAAGCAGTTAGATGTACATAATGCTTTCTTGCATGGCCTTCTTGATAAAGAAATTTATATAGCACAACCTCTTGGGTTTGTGGATTCTACTCAGCCCAATTTTATCTGCAAATTGCGCAAAGACTTATATGGGCTCAAACAAGCCCCGCGGGCCTGGTTTTTTCAACTATATTCCCACCTCTTGAAGCTGGAATTTCAGGGGTCTACTTGTGACCCTTCTTTATTCCTTTACCATTCAGGGGATACCGTCACCTATGTTCTTGTCTACGTAGGTGACATCGTCATCACCTGCAACAAGCTCTCTGCAGTTCAGTCTCTCATCTTTAATCTCTCACAGTGCTTTGCGTTGAAAGATCTTGGTGACTTGCATTTCTTCCTTGGTATTCAAGTTACTCGCTCTTCTAGGTGTTTGTTCCTCTCTCAACGACAATATCTCATTGATTTACTACAGAAGGCTGAACTAGCCGATGAAGACTCCACTTGTCGCTGGCAGCTCCTTATCTAGGACTGATGGAGACCTCCTCCTTGACCCTACTATGTATCACAGTCTAGTGGGTTCCCTTCAATACTTGAGGCTCACCCGCCCCGATATTGCTTTTGCGGTTAATAAGACATGCCAGTTTCTCTCCTCCCCCACCACAGCCCATTGGGCAGCAGTGAAGAGGATCCTAAGGTATTTGAAAGGGACCCTAATTCATACCAGTGGGTTTGCGCTCTTTCTGGGCCGTGCTCTTGCCTTAGTAGTCACTAAAGTTATCTGGGTTCAGCAGTTACTCATAGAACTGAACATTGTACTCTCCTTTAGCCCCAATTGTATGGTGTGACAATGTTGGTGCTCTCTAATTGGCTGCTAATCCTGTGTTTAAAGCCCGAACCAAACACGTGGAAGTAGATTTGTACGTGATCTGGTTCATCGTCTCTAATTGGCTGCTAATCCTGCCTTGGTCTTTATCTTGGAGTCATCGAATCATTGACCAGTACTAGCTTCTGCACTTGGACTTTTAACTCATTATGTTTGACCTTGCACCACCACTCTCAGAGTCGGAAGATGACAAAGGTGGTGGTGATTTGGAATCTAAATGTCATGTTTCCAAAGCCTCGGAGAGTTCCGGATCTAGCAGTTGATCTTTCCACAGAGGATCTTGAAGAGTATTTTCCATTTTTTCTTTGTTGATAAATGAAGGTTGGACTGTATCTGTCAATGGGGTTGCAATTGTGTGTGGAGGAATGAGGAGGAGGACAGGCGAACTCATTTGGGTTTTGTTGTCCTTTTGTATCCGATTCAATTGAACTCATTTGAGTTTTGTTGATAACTAAAGGTTGTCCTTTTGTCGTCTTCTCGACGGTGAACAGAGAACTACCATTGGCGTCATTGTAGCTGAAAATGACGGCGGCCATTGATGTTTTTCCCAAGACACTGTGGTGTTTCGCTAGTAAACGAAGCTCGTCCATCTTAGAGAGATGCCGGTAGTCGGAGGAGTTGGGGTTTTCAGACCAACTGGCATGGAATACCGGCTGAAAATCCAACTTCCGAAGTTGTTGGTATTTGCAGACAAGCAGCCAACGCTCTTTTATGACCAAAAACGAGCCAAGCATATATAATGGTTGAGCACCTCCATTGACACCCATCTCCCGGTCTACATTGTACTATTTCTACAGATGCGTGCTTTCTTTTGGATCAAAAAACTAAACAGACATCATCTTATGATGGGTCTCTACACAGTAGAGGAGACCTCTCCTTGTATTGCCCAAAAATCTAAGTGGAAAACTGTCATGCAGAGCCCTCTTAGCAGGCGATACGGGAAAGATGAATAATAAAGCAAGCCATGTATGTTCTCGGCTTCAAGCAACACCGCTGATAAAAACCTCTTATAAGTTTGCTTCCACCTTGGTCCAAAGTTTGCTTCCACCTCGGAGGGTCCTGAATTCCTTCGTCGTTCCATCATCAAAATATCTTGATGAAATTACAGAATGAAAATTACAGGTCCTTATCTTCTCCAATCATCTGAATTCCATTAGAGGAGCTAATCTTTGGTGTGAAAAACACTTCAAGCTCGCTACATATTTTTGATGCCTCACTATCCTTTATATGTTAACGGCCACTGGAAACTATGGAACTGGCGGTGCTGGTGGAGGCTATGGATCTGGCAGTGGCGGAAACTATGAAACTGGCGGTGGTAGTGGCTATGCAGGTGCGGCTAGCGGGGGTTACGGAGGCAGCGGTGGTAGTGGTGGAGATTAAGGAGGAAGTGGTGGTGGGGGTAGTGGAAATTATGGAGGTAGAGGTGGCGGTGGGGGTGGAAATTATGGCTTTCATAGGATGGTGGATGGAAGACCATGCTACAGCACCTCCTCCCAATGTAAACAACCAACCACTTGTAGAACTTGTGGAGGTTGTAGCGATTCAAAATGTGCTCTAGAAAGGAGCATCGTCACCTTCGCCCGCGACGCTTGTCACTGCAATTTCCAGATGGCGGTGCGACAGTGAGAAAGGTTGGAGATCTCAAATCTGCAAGGAGAACCTAAATCTGAGATCTGGTCCGTCGTCCGCCGCTAGGTACTCATCGTCCATCTGAGATCTGCAAGGAGAACCCAGATCTCAAATCTTCAAGGAGAACCCAGAAAGTCACCTACGGTTCGTGTCAAGACGAAGAACCCAGAGATGGGTTCATCTGCTAGTAACAATTTGCTTCCTTGCCGGTCTTCGTGTACTTCAACGAATGAGAGACAAAAGGCGATAAAGGCGAGGACTTCAAAGTGACGAGAGCAGAGGATTCTGGTGGTCCATCGTCTTCGTTAGCTCAGGAGCTCAACGGAGTGACGAGAGTTTAACTGTTCATCATCTTTGTTAGCTCAGGAGCTCAACGAAGGGTTGATCTTGATAAAGATGTTAATTTGGAACCGATTTGGTGTTGACGGAGAAGAATATCTCTTTGTTAGCTTGGGAGCTCAACGGAGGTTCCTCTCTCTCTCTTCGTCTCCTTCCTTCTCTCTCACCCCGTTCCCTTCTTTCTCTCTCCCTATCGCCCCTGTTTCATTAGTACCATTGCTACAAGTTGCAGCAACGACAGACCCCTCCACATCCTCTCTCTTGGTTCCCTTCGTTCGTTCTCCTTCCCTTTCACATCCGACCTCTCCTTGTATTGCCCAAAAATCTAAGTGGAAAACTATGATGTAGAACCCTCTTCGCCGGTGATACAGTTGCAGAGTGGTTCGCTGTAGCTACCGTCGGGAGAAAGATGGTGAAGAAGAAGGGAGAGAGACGAAGGGCAAAATTGAGTTTTGAAGAAAATTTATACATCACGTCACGTATGTATAAATTTCGGTGTGTATGAATTTCGACAAAACATTAACGTATATTAACTAGGAAAGACTTGGATAATTATAAAAAAAAAACTTAAGGGTACGCAAGATAATAGCTAAATAATAGGGATACCGCATATAAACATGATGGATAGTTTGACTGTTTAAGAGATTTACCCTTTTTTTTTTTTAATTCCGGACCATGAGATAAACAGAGCCGGATAGGTGGCCGAACGGTTCAATCGTCCGGGCCAACGATATTTTGAGAACCATGCATCCGATAATTTTGAATGAACAGTAGGGTCGGTCCACTTGGGAAATGGAACTATGGGCAGCACACGTGTCATGGGCTTCTTGAAATATCTGGATTTAGGATAGGGTTGGGCCTACCACGTCAAAACAGCCCATTCCTCCGCCCCCCCATCAAACTGATGGTCTGAAATCTGAAAACCATCCTAAAAACCTCCTCTCCTCATTCCTCTCTCCTTCCTAGCTGGTTGCTACTACTCTTCCAGACTTCCTCCCCTTACTGACATACTATCGCTTGAAGTTGAAGTCTCACTCGTAGAGAAACTTGTTACTTCTCTTTAGATAGCATTGACCCAGAAGCCAACCCACCCATTGAGAAAACGAGAACTCATAATTGATGGCGGCTCTGTTAGCTTGCTCTAGCGGACACACGAGTTTTCATTCCCATCATCACATATCGATCTCGTGTTCTTCAACTCCTCTTTCTTCCCCTTCTTCTTCTTCTTCTTTTGTCGTTTTGAATCAATGTCCCGCCACCACTTGCAGAACCTTCATCAGTACCACAAAGTCTAGGTCGTCCTCCACATTGTCTTCTTACCATTCCATTTTCTTAAAACCCTCTTTAGCTCTTTCCCTCTCTTCCACGATCAAATCAAATGCGGTGGCTCCGCAGAAGAATGGGTCCCTCCTCGTTTGCATGTCCTGGGACGGTCCTCTTTCCTCTGTCAAATTGATCCTTCAAGGCAAAAATATCGAGGTTTTCCATCCACACTGTTTTTTTTTTTATATATTTTGGGAATTGGGATGAAAGTTGTTCTAATTACTGGTATTGCAGTTAGCAGATACCGTCAAGAGCTATGTGGAGGAGAAAGTCGGTAAGGCCGTCCAGAAGCACAGTCACCTTGTGAGAGAAGTTGACGTGCGGTTATCGGTTCGGGGCGGTGAGCTTAGCAGAGGTCCTAAGCTTCGCAGATGTGAGGTGCGCAGCTGGAATCTTTAATGGTTTCATTTTTTTCTTAAATAGGCTTTATGTAATTGCTTAGTTGGTTTAAAGAAGGTGAATCTTGTTTATATTTTTTAGGTTACTCTGTTCACCAAGAAACATGGGGTGGTTCGAGCAGAGGAAGATGCTGAGACGCTCTACGGAAGTATAGACTTGGTTTCTTCGATTATTCAGAGGAAATTGAGGAAGATTAAGGAGAAAGATTCGGATCACGGTCGTCACATGAAGGGATTCAACAGGCTTAAGGTTCGGGAGCCGGAAGCCCAAGTAGTGGAAGAAGATGTGGAGACAGTTCCTCAACAAGAGGAGGGAGACTTCATAGATGAGGTATTTCTCTTAACTCTTTTGATTTGTTTCATTATTTGAGCTGATTTATTTACTTATTTTTTGTCTAGTTGTTGTTGCAATGCTCATTCCATTTTCTTTTTCGTTCCAAGATTGGGCCATTTTATGTATTGCGTTGTCAGAGTTCATTCAGAATAATGTTTTCATGGCTTCATTTGAATTACTGCAACTTATTGGTATTGATTGTTGTACTATATGATCTTTGGTAAGCCATAAGGGTTGCCCTTACATCTTATCACAGTATTATTTCTAGTTACAGCTAGATCTCGAGAATAACATTCACATGAACATCCGATCAAATGTTAAAACTTATTTTCTCAAGATACCTTAGATTTGGGGCTAGGCTTTTCTTTCATTTTTTCATTCTTCCTTTTCATCTTAGTAAATTCTTATATAGAAAAAAGAAGAGAAGAAAAATGGAGCTATACTTAATACTGTGAAAGAAGTAATTTGTAGACATCCATTGGAAATGATATTTGAATGATGGATCTTCTGATTTTATCAATTTCAAAGCGAACATTAAATTTTACTAATGGTGCTATGCTTATAATTGAAAAGGAAAAGAAAAATAACTAGCAGCAAATGCTGATTAACATTGTCGAAGGAAAAATAAAAGGGAATTCCTCAAAATGTTGTACCATAATTTGGGCCTTTGACTTGCATCAAGTTACTCCTAACTAGTAGATCCACTGATCTGCCTAACATGTATCCAGATTACTTCAACTGACATTGTTTCCTTATCTGAATTGGTAATGGCCCTAGGATTTCATCTATTTCAAGCCCTTGTAATATTTCCCACTTACATATCTTGATTATCTGTCTCTTTTATGTTCATTTTGTGGGCCCATTGTTTCTGATTGTTCAATGTTTCACCCCATAAAATATGGCTGCACTTGTAAGTATCCTACAAATCATTCACTTAGTTTTAATGATAATCTACTTTGCGACAATGAACATGCTCTGCATTTGATATTAAAAATATTAGTAGAAGAAGCTCCACTCAACCATGATCAATCACTTTGTGGCATATATCTACAACTCCAAACAAGTTCATGAAGGTTAGACTCAACAAAACAACTCAAGAAAGCCTTGTCCCAGCTATATTTGGTCAGCTACATGAATCTTGTTCTTTTGTTATTCTCTGTTCAGTGTCATGTCCATTGTTATTCTCTGTTCACAAAGTTTCACTATAACTTAAAAAAAGGCTAAGTGTTTAGTCTTAATAAAGGCCCACTATAACTGAAAACTTTGATGTCTCTTCCATGGGTTTTCTAACACCGGTTTTTGTACCATCATGCATGTTCTTAATTAGGTCCATATAGTATCCATTTGATATCCCTTTCTTTTCCAAAATCTACCATATTATATCTCTAGGAACTTTAATATATGCTTTTTCCATGTCAATGAATCACCATCATCATAATCATCTAAGCCTTGCCTCAACTATATGTGGTTGGTCACATGATTCCTATTTCACCATTTCATTCTTTATAGTGTGATATCCATCTTTAATTTATGGGTGCTTAAATCATTTCTTATTACTTTCACCCAAGTCCTTTTCGGTCTGCCCCTAGATCTTCTAACTCTTTCAATTTTTAACAGATCACCTTTCTCTATTAATGAATACCATGTCAAAATCTCCCTTCTCCACCTTCTCCAAAAACTTTTCTATCAATTGCCTCAATATTAAGATAGCTTCCATGGTTGATTTCCTTGGCATAACCTAAACTGTTTTTTGGTCCAACTATGATATGGAAAAGATATGATATCTGAAAATTTTCTGACCAGTCAACTGGAATTATAAACACAGTAGCCAATCAGGTGTTATTTATCAAATTCATGGGTGGGTTTTGATTGGTCAAAACTCTTTCCACACCATATCTTTTCCGCATCATAGATTTTCCCACTGTAATTTCTTCTCTTTTTTTTATTTGATAAACTTGTTTTGTGTTGTGGACTTTTCTCTATTATTCTTTCATGGTAAAGCAATATGGCTCATAATTTTTACCCAATGAATTATTGTGATTTTGTATATCATCATTGCTTTTAAATAGTTCCAAGATGCTCTTTCTCCATTTGCATGATTTTTTTTTTGGTTTTCATTATCATATTGAATAGTTTAGTCAACTATAATATCTCTACATCAGTACATCTCTTATGCCTTTTTTGGACTTCTATTGGGATACCATTAGGTCCTCAAGCATTTTCATTCTTTGTCTTATTTAAAGCTGCCTTCACCTTAAAGCTTCCAATTTTACAAAAGTACCTATGCTTTCTAGTTATTTTAGAACTACTGATGCCTTCTAAACTCATACTTTCTATATGTTATTTATTTAATTGTTTTTAAAATTAGCTCCTCCATATTTTATTGATTTATTCATCATTTACCAAAGATCTTTGATCTTCTTCGTGGTTGCATCTTTTTTTATTAGTAACAACACAGGAGACTTCATTAATGTGAGATAAACCATAGAACCATACATTGCAGAAAGGAATGTAGGACAAAGGTAAGTACAAGCAGCTGGTAGAAATCTGTTGAATTAAAAAATATGAAAGAAAAATAGTTTCTTGAAGAGAGAAGGAAGAGAGAAGGAGAAGAAGAGAAGAAGAGAAGTTGAAAAGAAAAGAGAGCAATCATCTGGCCGCCCCCTTCACTTATTATTTATACTAAAAATAATAGAACAACACAAAGACAACTATGCTCTTATAGGGTGGCAAAACATAAAACAGCATATATAACAC